TTCATGCTCATTGCTTTTAAGATTATATTCGTAGAAATGAGACATTGCACCGAGCTATGGGCTTTTAACTTCGTGTTGGAGGCACTGTTTAATTGACCAGGGTTGAGGAGGGGTAGTTTTTACCATTTGGCCATCAGCACATTTTCTCTATTCTCTTTTTTCTAGACTAAGCTTGCTGTAGAGATTGACTTGAACTCTCACTGAAAAGATGATAGTGGGAGGGAAGGTGAAAGATTGTTTTAAGAATAAGGCATGAGAGAAAGTAAAGAAGAAAAACAGCTGACTGAAACTCTTTAGGTGACGGTCATAGGGAAGATGTAAAAATGATGAGACATTAGCCGTGGTGACTGGTAAGTTTCATGTGATTTGTGAGGAGATAAGGACAGGTTGAACAAAAGCCGTTTGGTAATCCGAGCTTAATACTCACATATGATCAGATGTCTTAAATTTTCTTGAACCCATGAATATAAGCACTTCTTGCTGATGGCAGGGACATTTTTATAAAGTTAATGTGTTTCAAGATTTCAATTATCTTTTTCCTTTCATTGTCTGCCTCTGGAACCTACCATAGAAGACGTAGATATAGTAGTAATAGGGTGGAAGTCTTCTTTCTTAACTAGGTCTTGGATCATTACTTTTACTAAGCATGTTTCAACAAGTACAAAGACTATAAAAAGCATGAAAGTATTAAAAGAGCTTTTAGGGTGATCATTTCAAAACCAATTTAAGGTGATATTTATTAGGAGACTAGAAGGAGAAACCACACATTTCAAAGTTGAGATAGCAGGGTCTTCACAAAGCTCATTTAGGACTTATACTAGAAAATCACTTTGCCTGTGAGAACATTTCCTTCTCATTGCTGGCTGTAGTGAATTTTTCAGGGCTGAGGTTGATCTGGTGGCTCAAGCCTGAAGGTATATTGTTAGGTCGTGCTGAGGGAATCCTCAGACCTCCTGAGTTACCAGATGGACATAATGCATGTCACTGAACTGACATCTGCTGACTCAGATTTGGAGTCTGCTGGCTAGAGTGTCATTGGAATAGGGTGAATCTCTGCTTCCAGTGGATAAACAAATACTTGAACTGTATGTCCACATTGACCATCTAGAGATACTTATAGTTTGCTGATGGTTCCCTTCCATGACCCCCACCAGATCTACCCAAACCATAGACAATTATCTTTACTGGGAAATTATCACTGATGCAATACCATGAACTAATCTATATTTTACTTGAATTGCATTGTTTTTTCAACTAATGTGCTTTTACTGCCCAGGGTCCAGGACAGAATCGTGTGTTTACTTGTCATATCTCCTTACGTCTCCTCTCATGTGTGACAGTTTCTCAACCTTGCTTTATTCTTTATAACCTTGATGCTTGTAAAAAAAATAATGATCAGGTGTTTTATAGAATGATCTTAATATTTGATATTTTCCCATGTTTAGATTGAGTTTATATACTTTTAGCAGGAATGTCCCAGAATAATGGGTACTAGGGTGTATGCTACCAGAAGACTAATTACTAGTACTGCTAACTTTGATCAAATGGTTAAGGTTGTGTCCGCTTATTTTCTCTACTGTAAGGTCAATATTTTTGTCATTGTAATTAATATTTTGTAGGGGGATACTTTGAGAATAGATAGGTATCTTGTTTTTATCGTACTTTCATCTACTAATTTTAGCATCCATTGGTTTGTTCCAACTTGCAATCATCATTACTTCATTATTTGTCTTATAGTAATTTTTTATTACCACCAGTGTGTCTTTATTTATTAATTGTAATTTCACTGTAAGGGAGAGCTGATCCTTCCTCTCCATTTATTTATTCAATCTTCTTTTTTTATTGGTATCAGGAATTGAACTCAGGACCTTGCACTTGCCAGGCAGGCATTGTGCCACTGAGCTATATCGTTGGCATATTCAATCATTTTTATATCAAAAGGGAGTTTTACTTTAGTTTATTGATTTATAATCCGTTATTATGATTACTCATTTCTTTGCTCAAATTGTCCAGATTTGACCATTCAGAGCAATTTTAAATTAGCACCTGAGACTTTGAAATACTCCCTCACTGAATGGCCGGTTTCTTATTTTCTGGTCCTACAAATACATATTCTTAGCTTATTGTATAATTTTGTTGTTCCAACACTGAAAATGATTATTTCTCCAAAGAACCCTGATTCTTCTTACAGGGTGATGATATTTAGAAACCAAGCTTTCTCTATGTTCATTGCTGTATGGGAGTGTTGGCTTGTAGGCTCTTTCAGTAGATGGGTTAGGAAAACATACCTGTGTTTACTCCTGCTTGTACATACTTATTTCTCTGGACATCTTGATATGTATTAAAATCCACGAGTAAATACTGTTACCTCAAATTCTGGTTAAACATTGGGGACATTTATTGAGAAAGTTCTCATAATTATTATAAATAAACATTCTCTTTGGCTTTAAAATAATCTACTTGTAAGACCTTCCTCATCATTAGCATTTTAATCTTCACACTCAGGATGAAGACATTTTGAAGCCCCTCACCCTATGTTCCAGTTGATATCTTCCTGATCTAAAACTTCATCTTCATCCAATATTATAAGAAGTGGATTTCATAGGATTCCACAGGACTATATAGCACCTCTTGATTGGTAGTCATGGTTCTCTAAGTCTCAGATGGAATAAGAATGTCCTGCATCTCAGTTACAATTTATAGCTTCTCCACAGTGATCTAGATTTTAGTGACCAAGGTCTTTCCATGTTTAGATCATAAGTGTGACTCATGTGCTCCTGGGATGCAAACCCAGGTTATTTTTTATTCCTCCCAGAAGAGCATACAAATGTGTTTAGAATATTTCAGTGCCTTAGAACTCAGATTGTGAAAAGATTTGAGCCTCCTAACTGTCAAATTCTTAGTGACTTTTAAATCTTTGAGCTGGGAAGTAAGAAGGAGCCAGGGCCTACAAAGCTATACCCAGTAGACACTGGGTGTTGGGGAGGAAAGAAACTACCTCAAGGACATCCTGTAACCCATGATTTATCTTATTTTTACTTGGAACATATCCATGTCTTAAAGATCTGTTTCTTTGGGCAAAGTTCAAGAAGCATTATGATTGTGCTCCTGAAGACATGTATTAGTGGTCATTTCTTAGACTGCCTGCCTCAGCAAGATGGACCATACTACTGGCCATCACATTAACCTCAAGAAATTTAAAAGGATCAATATCTTATAAAGTATGTTACTTGATATCAGAGAAATCAAACTAGAAATCAATAGTAGAAAGATATCTAGAACATTCCAAAATATCTGGAAATTAATTCGCCTTTTCCTTTACTGCCAGGAATGATAGACTCTGACAGTGAAAACAGCAATAAAATATTGAGCATAAAATAAAAGCTATCTAAAGGCACTGGAGAGTCAAGAGAAGCAGACAGATTTTGGTGACAAATACAGAGGAGGGAAGTAGAGGCACTACATGAATATGTGTATCCAAATTTTGAGAAACTTGCTAGGTGCCAAGGGAAGGGTAATTACCAGCCAGGGTCTGGTGTCAGAAAATGGCTTTTGAAGAGTAGAGAAGGTAGAAAGAACGAAATCATAGCATGTAGTTAGTTATGTCGTGGGAGGTACACAGTGTATGTGGTAGGTAGTAGTTTAGAAAAGGAAGAAGAAACTTCAGAGAGTTTTGGGGATTAGAATTTTGTAACTCAGAAGTTAATTGACTGAAGCTAAGACTAAGCATTTTGATATTGGGGAGATCTAAATGAAAATTTCTAGCAATGAGGTAGAAAAAGGAAGGGGAAATTTTAAATCATGGAATTCAGAATATGGGCAAGTGGGGATAATGCAAACTTCTAGATAGATATGAGAAGGTAACTGAAGGATTGGTTTCTAATATAAGAGATATTATTTCATCAATAAGTAAAACAAGACCAAAACTACTTTTCCACTAAGCTTTTCATGAAGAATACCTCTAAGTAGAGTTTATTACCTGTCACCCCCAATAGCTTATCAATACACTTTACAGAATACACTTGGATAGCACATTGGGTCACAAATTTTTGTCATTTTTAGCTTCTGAGTATTTATTCTGTACCTATGTCACATGGATCTATTACACTGTCTTCTCCTTCTAACACAAGCAAAGCCCTGCACCCTACAGTGAGCTCAGTAGTTGAATGAACACTTGTGAGGACTGAATGAAGACTGGAGCGATTTAAGAGTTCATCTGATTAAAAATCAACAGCAGAGCTCAGACCTGATTCACAGTTAAGAATCTGGTCTTCATATTCAGTAATGCAGAGTTTTACCAGAAGTCTGATTAAAAAACAAATCTTTTGAAATGTCACCAAGGTAAAATCCTTGACAGAAACAGTAGAACTAGGTATATCATTATAATATATTCTTAGCGGGATAAAAGCCTAAAATCAGAATATTGATTGAAAACATACAAGCTTTATGGTGGCAGTAAATTTGGAACTTGTCACACTTTATATTTGCCATTAGTCTTTCTTTGTTGAAGCCAAGAAAATGGAGCAGATTGGGCTGATGCTGCGTGTTGGGCAATGTAGTTTTATGTAAGAGTCTAGAGTAGTAGAATTTTTAAGTGAGGACAGCTTTAGGGTGATGCAGAATTTTAAGTATTAAATGTTGCCATGAATGTGCTGCTGTCATCTTACAAAGATATATGAGCACAATGGATGAGGATTTGCCGAAACTAACATTCTTGGTTCTTTTCTGTTTCTTTGCCAGGTGACAATTTTCTGTTGCGATGGAGGGTCCTGTCTTTGAAGTCTTGGGAGTTGTGTCTGAACTTATTTTTTATCCTCTAGTGAGAGATGCTAAAGCACTCTAGTGGGATCCTTGCTCCTTGCCCCAGAGTGTTGTAGGAATTATAATTTTAATAAGTTGCTATAAACAACCAGCAAATGTTCTGCTCCTTGCCCGTCTGCCTGACTGCCGGTGTTCTTTGCCTCTGATGGTTGTTTCTCTTCCGTCCTTCCTGTCTGCAGACATGCCTTGAATTGGAGCGCTACCTACAGACAGAGCCCCGGCGGATCTCAGAGACCTTTGGCGAGGACTTGGATTGTTTCCTCCACGCCTCTCCTCCCCCGTGCATCGAGGAAAGCTTCCGGCGCTTAGACCCCCTGCTGCTCCCCGTGGAAGCCGCCATCTGCGAGAAGAGCTCCGCAGTGGACATTTTGCTCTCTCGGGACAAGTTGCTCTCCGAGACCTGCCTCAGCCTCCAGCCAGCCAGCTCTTCTCTGGACAGCTACACAGCCGTCAACCAGGCCCAGCTCAACGCAGTGACCTCATTAACGCCCCCGTCGTCCCCTGAGCTCAGCCGCCATCTGGTCAAAACCTCACAGACTCTGTCATCCGTGGATGGCACGGTGACGTTGAAACTGGTGGCCAAGAAGGCTGCGCTCAGCTCCGTAAAAGTGGGAGGGGTGGCGGCGGCGGCAGCAGCTGTGGCACCAGCTGGGACAGTTAAGAGTGGACAGAGCGACAGTGAGCAAGGAGGGCTAGGGGCGGAAGCATGCCCCGAAAACAAGAAGAGGGTGCACCGCTGTCAGTTTAACGGGTGCCGGAAAGTTTATACAAAAAGCTCCCACTTAAAGGCCCACCAGAGGACTCACACAGGTAGTGGTACAAGTTGGCCGCACGTGGTTTCTTCCCTTTCCTGCTTTTGCCTCGCGGTGGGAAGGGCTGGCTCTATTCTGAGAAGTGGCGCTTCGTGCTGATTAGGCAGGGTACAGAGACGTGGGGCTCTGGGTAGGGCAGCAGAATGACTCCCTCCTCCCCCAGCACTCTCTGATGTCCCAAGCACAGGTCATGGGTTTGTCCCTGGCTGGCTGAGAGCTGTTTGAGGAGGCCATGCCAAGCACGACGATTTGAGGCTGACAGCAGGGAGCTCTGTAGTGTGACTCACAGGCTGGCACTCATGCGGCAATGTAGCCTTACAGATTTGGTCAATGTTGGAATCTGGGGAGGTACATTTGAAAGCATTCACGGTTAAACAGGTAGCGAGGCTGTCCCTATTCACTCCTTTCCGGGCATCCCTGATTTTTCATCAAAGTCACCAGCAGCAGGAGGGTTTCAGAGTTCATTAGATGTGATCATTCTATAATTAATTGGCATCTCCTCTTTTGCATTGTTCTCTGGCGCGTGCTTTATGGAGAGATGGCAGAATTGCTTTTTAATGAGCTTGTTACTGAGAAGTTGCTAAAGTGATTACATTGCTATGTGTGTGGTAAGGGTGGGTGGTGGAGGGATGGCACTGTATATTGTACTCAGGGCTTCGGTGGTAATTCCAAGGAGTCATATTGATCTTTTGAGCAGTGTGATCATTTGGAAGAGAAGGGATTACAGAGAATGGAGGGAGACTGGCATTTTCCGTAAGGCTGGTCTTTGTTCTCTTCTTCGAGGTTGGTGCTTGGGGGTGGTATCTGTTCTTGGTCTACTAGCGTGCTACTAAGAGCAATTACTGAGAGTGGTGGTTTTTAAGTGGGTCACTAACAGCGTATAGCTTGTGTGGCTTTTGCATACTGCCTGCACACTGCGAGCTGAATAGAGAAAGTCTCCCAGGTGTGAGTGGCGGGATAAGAGTGTCCCCAGAGAAAAGTGGGTGATAGTGCATGAGGCAGGGGAGGGTCTGGTACTCTGGGCATCTGAGGGCTGGGCCACCAAGGAGGGGTGCACTGTTGGCTGGAAAATCAGAGCCATCTGAGTTCTGGTCCTGACTGCCACTCACTAGCTCTGTGACCTTGAGTATGTTGCTTTATCTGTGCCTCATTTTCCACGTTTGTCGAACAATCTGGCTCTTAAGGATCCTTTCCCCTCTGATGTCTTGGCCATCCATGAAATGTCTTCGTGCAGTGCTGAGGGACGTTTCTGAAGTAGGAAGGCATAATATGTGACTTGAACAAATCACTGTTTTGAAGATCAAAGTTATTCCCATGGGATGATAAGAACTGATGCTGCTTCCTCACAAGCAGGATTTAGGCTTATCATCTTGTAATTCTGAGCTTAGTTTCCCTTTGCCTCTTGCTCTTGGGATAGTCTCTGAACGATTTTGGAATACTGTGTCTCAGATGTAGAGTTCTGTTTGTGGACTTCCATCAGAATTTGGGTTCCATCAGAATTTGGGTTCCACCTCCCCACTGCACATACACTGAGACCAAGGCTTCCTGTATTTGCCAGTTTCTTTCCCCCTTTCTGGTATTGTTCTGAAGGTGATATTTGTCCACACTTCTTTCTTTCTAAAGTCAATGAGTAAGTTAATAAGAAGACACCACAGCGCTCCCAGGCTTGATATGTGACTTAACTCTAGTGTCATCTCCCAGGAAACCAGAGAAAAGATGAGGCAAGAATGTTGAGATGTGTTTTGGGTGTGGAATTCATGGTTATGGGCACTTTCTGAATCACACTAAGAAAAGCTACACCATGCTTTGTGTGGAAGCTGGTCAGCACCGAGAGCAGCAGAGATTCTTTAGGGGAGTGCAGAGAATATTTCTCTTCTTTCTATCCCACTGTCCCTGTAGAGGTCTAAAGGCTAACTGTTATGACTGATGCCTTATGTAGTGCTTTACCTTTTGATCATTGCCTGCTGAGAGTGATTACCCGAGCAGAGCCTGGGATGTTTCCCAGCACCTGTAGCTACCTGCCTGGCTGGATTGCACTGGAGGGACTCCTCCTCATGGGGAATTTAGAAAGGCAACACTACAGGGTAATTAAGAGCAGAGCTTTGCACTCACATAGATGGGGTTTGGCTCTACAGCTTCCTAGATTTATGACCTGTTGAAATTACTTATCTTCTCTGAGTCTCAGTTTCCTCAGCTGTAAAATAGGTACAATTGCATTTATGTCATAGATTATTTTGAAGATAAAGTAAGCAAATTACTTGACGGTAAAAATTCATTAAAGTAGTAATGGGATTGTTGTTATTACTGTTGTTTGTAATTGTAGTTCTCATAGATTGTTTAGAAGATTAAGTAAGCAGATTACTTGGCAGATAGTAAGAACTCATTAAAAATAGCACTAGGAATGTTGCAGTTACTACTATTGTTTTTGATGATAGTTACTGCTGTTGTTACCATTGATTAGTGATAATTGAGTGAAAAACAGATTTATGTAAAATGGAAATGAGCCAGTGGCCCAGAGTTAAATACAGATTGAGTACCCCTGATCTGAAAACCCCAAATTTAAAATATTCTGAAATCCAAAACTTTGGAAAGCCCACGTGACACCACAAGTAGAAGATTCCACATCAGACCTCACAGGGACAAGTCACAGTCACAATGGAGCCGCACTAAAAATCTTGTATAAAGTTTCCTTCAGACTACAAAGATAAGGTGAAAATAAAGCATAAATAAATTTTATGTTCAGATTTGGGTCCTGTCCCCAAGATAGCTCATTATATGTATGCAAGTATTCCAGAATCAGAAAAAAATTGAAAATCTGAAACACTTCTGATCCCAAGTCATCTCAGATGAGGGTTTTTCAACCTGCACCACAAAAATTAAGAAGCTTCTCTTTCCCCATTTTTAATGGTTCCTCAGGGGGTCGGGGTGATGGTGTTCATAGACCTGGCCATGCAAGCATCAGACCACAGGAATGGAGAAAGTGGCTTTTCAGAGACAGTGCAGGAAGCATTTTGCCTGTAAAACCTTCCTCACAGACAGAATTGAAGGAAAGGGAGGTGCTATAGGAAAGAGAAGCCAAAGAGAGAGGAGGTGAGGATGGAAATGGGGGGTGGGAGAGAGAATATGAATTAATTTGGATTAAATGGATGAGAATCATAAGTATTTATTTGGAATTGGTGTGAATGGGGCACATGGGGAACTGAAAACAAAGGTGATAATTTATGTGGTGTGGATGAACTCCGAATAATGGGAAAAGCATGAAGAATGAAATCAAGGGGCTGGGGATTTAGCTCAGCGGCACAGCGCCTGCCTGGCAAGCGCAAGGTCGTGAGTTCGATGCCCGGTACCAGAAAACAAAAACAAAAACAAAAACAAAAACAAGAATGAAATCAAATTAAGTGCAAACATATAAAAAAATGGACTGGTAAAAGCTTGAGGGCAAAGGTATATGGCAGTGGGAATTTGGATGGGAAAGAGTCTGCTGGTATAAGGAGTGGAGCAGTGAGAGCTGCTGACCAAATTTTGAAATGAAGTTTTCCAAAGTGGGCTCTGGATGGTTTGAGGCAAACTATTTTAGCACGAGACTAACTTCATTCAGTGGAAATATTTCTCATCTTTCATTTGGAGAGGTATTTTGGGACAGAAAAAAATATCATCCCAGAGAGTGGGGAGCTCTGGCATTTTGTTCTGGAGAGTTATATATACGCCATATCTCTTTTATATGGTAATGTGTTGCAAAGGAGACACAGTTGCAAAAAATGAAGGGAAATAAAATAAAATGTGCGAGTCTCCACCTTCTCTGCATAAAGAAAGACAATACATGAATTGGGACATGGATTTGCTTGCATTGAGGAATTTTTAAAAGTTGTTATTCATTTAATCTTTATGTGGATAGAATTTACTGAACTGGAAAAGATAGGCTTTTTTTTTTTTCTCCTTCTGTGGGTTATTTTTGAGGATGCTGAATCCTCCAAACCTTTTTACCCTGGAGGATATTAAGCAACAAGGTGATCTTTTTCGTGAGGTAGCAGATGTTCAATTTGGTAGCTGGGCGCAAGTACTAGTTGCCCAAGGAGATGAAGTTAGGGATGGGGGAACCAGGTGGAAGAAGATGAGGCAGGGAATGAAACAAAGGGTTATAATGAAGTATCAGGATCTTAGTGAAAGACAGCACAAATGGGCCTATGGTTTATTCATGGAGAGAACACTTAGGGTTGGTACAAACATAAAAATGTCCTTTAGCAGCCACACCATTGCACACCTTCATCTCCCACTCTGTTTTTCTGGTCCTTGTGTAATACATTTTCCTTTCTTAATAATTCAGCCACTGTAATCATAGTTTTATCTTGGAATCAGCTAAATAACTCTCATGATGTGATACAAGGAGAACCTTCACTTCCAGTAGTAAAACAAAACAAGCCCTCTTTCTTAGGCTCATTTTCAGCCAAACACAATTTGTTAAAATGTTAGTAGTTTCTATGCAAAAACAGAAAGAACTTTTTCCATATTTCTTCTTGATCTTTTCTCGGAAGAAAGAAAAGCCTGGAATTGCAGTAGTCCTGTATGCTAAGTGAGCGGACTTACTGAATTTGAAAAGTCATATAAAAGCATGTCCATGTTTATATTGAGCAGGAAAGGCTGTGCTGGTAAAATGAAGAAACAGATCAGCAATTAAATCTTGGGTTCTTGGTCACCGTGAAGAAGCCATGTTTGCTTAGGTGCCACTTGAGGGCTCTTTCTGTAGCCTAAAGTCCGGTGATAGTTTTTGCGCGTAGGGCATAACAGGATGCTTTCTAGATGGAATGGCTACACAAGTGTGCAGTGTGTAACGTTTTACATCTTCTGTGCGGCAGGTCTTTTTGAATCACGAGGTGGCACAATCTGAGTTTAATGAGGATTTGTCGTTTGTTTTCAGTTGAAAATATGGCTAAAAACATTTCAAATAAAAGGACAAGTGTAGTGTTTAGGAGGCAAACGAGAGTGCCTGTATCACATACCTAATGAAGCTTCTTTAAAATTTGAAATATATTTTGTTTATTTTACTCGTTTCACAGATACTTAATAAAACACTTGCTGTGTGTCAGGTGCTTTTTGTGTCTTTTATAATATTAACCCTTTTAACTGTCAAATTAAGTGACATAGGTACTCTCTTATTTTGTTTTACACACGAGGAAAATGAGATGACTCAGACAGGTCAAGTAATTTGCCCAGTATCTGCTGCTCATAGGTGGTTGGGCAAGAATTTGAACCAAGTGTTATGCCAGTCTAAGCTCTTAACTCTGTGCTAAACATGGAAAAAGAGTGAGATAGATTTTTTATAATCTGTTGTTATGAGTATATGAAAACAGAAAGCTTAAATCCACATGGGCAATAAAAACTACTTTATTGGTAAGAGTTTATCCAGACTGCCTCATCAGGTGACTAAGAACCAGCAGAGGTGAAATTATGAAAGGAGTCTTCTATTTCCAAGCCTATTGTCGTTGTTCCTGCAGCTACTATTATTATGATCATTACTATTACCAGTATTGTAAACCTTCGGATTACTGAGAGACAAGAGGTTGATTCTTGTGACAACCTCACTTCACTCATTAAAATGGCAAAGTTAATCTGTATTGCTATGAAATAAGAAAGATCAAACATTGTCACATTACAGGGAAGACTGCAGACCAATAATGTAAAAGTGACTTAGTCCAGGCTATACAAACCCGTCAATGGCAGAATTAAAATTTGAGCCGTGGGCTCCTTCCTGTATATTAGGCTTGCATCCTATTTAATAGGTCATCTTGCTTTTTCCCTTTGTTTTTTCAGTCATTCTGGACACTGATGTTAAGTGCCCATATGTGGTGTGAGACACGATGTGTGCCATAGACCAACAGTCAAAGGAGGACAAGGCAAGGCAAGCCAAGCCATTCTGGGAGTTTAAGGAAAATGGGCACAAGAGCTGCTACCAATACTAGGAGGTGTAGCATGGAAAATTTGGGAGTGAAATACCACTTTTCTCTTTCTGGATGGGGTATTTATTGCTGCTGCTCATCTTTTTAAGTGATGCCAATGTGATAATATATGAGTTTATATAAGTAGAAGACCCAATTCAAAGTCAGGCATATCAGCAGGATGAAACTGCATACCTCAGTGTCAAACTTGGAGGGGCTGTTGCCCACTTTCAGCTTCCTCAGTGCTATAGAGGAAAATTCTTTACATGTATACATTTGGAACTGAAATGGGGCAATTTTAAGACATTAAAGGGCCTTTGGTATGCTGAGGCACATGGCTGCTAATGAAATTCACCCATGCCTGGAGCAGGCAGAGACTCATTGGACCCGATTTTGGGATGGAAGCTGAAGTAGGGATTACACATTCAATTCCTAAGGTAAAGAGAGTTTCAGGGGAGGGTTTGATGGTTTGAATTCAGCATATTCGGGGTCCTAAGAGGAGTCTGGAAAGAAGGAGTATGAAGTGAGGTGGTGGAAAATAATTGATTGGGAAAATTTTATGATTCAGAAAAATCTTAGAACTTACCACATGATAATTTAGCAATAAGATAGCTCTTAACATTTATGAAGATAAATTTATGTAAACATATACTGAGAAGACAGAATGGTTTAAACTCAGTGTACACACAATAAGCACATTTACTTTATCATTATAACATAGTAATAAATGTAAGCTTAGTGGAACGCCTATTCCAGATGTCCTTTTAATGGATAATTGGTAGTCACACAGTAAATAAGTGCGTTAAGAGTCAGGACAGCAAAACATGAAATTAATGAGTATTTTAACATAAAGCATTAATATAGTTGGACACTATTCTAGACTCAGAATAGAGTTCCCCGTTTCTGAGAATCTTGCTTTTTGATGCAAGAGACTAAAATATGATTCCATAAAGTCATTATATTTGAAACCTGTTCTCAAAAGAGAATATAGCAATGGATTAGGGTGTGTGGGGAGCTGGGTAAGAAGGAAAAGAGGAAAAAGGAATTTCATTTCAGAAAAGGCAGTAGAAGTAATAACATTTTATACATTCTAAGAGTTGAAGGTAGGCTAGCTCTGGTTGATAGGGGGAAAATGAGGCTTGAGATGTTTGTGGGATGGCCAAGTATGAACTTCAGCACAGTTACTCTGTTTAATATACAATGTACAGAAGTTATCTCTGCTAGAGTAAGAGTGTTAATGATGGTAATGGTTGTGGTTCTTCTGTACCTGTTATAGTAGGAGTCTTGAGGAAAGTTAAAGGGCTCTACTTTGTAAACAGTGAAGGCTAAGGTGATGTTATAAAAACTTACTGTTGGTGAGTAATAATTTTCACGTGCTCTCTTGAATTTGAAACAATAACAGAGTGATTCTGTTTGTGTCAGGAAAAAAATAGAATTGAAGAAAGTTGTGTACAATTAACTGAAGATTTTTTTCTACAGAACTTAGGAATGATCCCTGAAAGAGTATTTGTAAAATAAGGTATATTTCTTTGAAATTTCTTCTATTTGAATTTAGTAGAAATTGCAGTTGAGACCTTGATAATGGATCGTTGGGAAACTTCATGTAAGAAAGTTAGTTCTGATGAGCCAGTGAAAGAGCTTGGGAATCAAACCTGCTATGCAGGTACGAAGCAGAAAGCCAAGTCCTTCCCATCCAGGCATTTTCTTTGCCCCCTCCCTATGGAGGCAAATTGGACCACTCTGAGCAAGGGTGTTTCCTAAAACCTTTATTCCTTTCTTCTGCATTTCCCACCCCATACCTCACCTGATTCTCTCTCTTCCTGTCTCCCTTCCTTGAACCTCTACAGCACGGTCTGATAATGCTACGCTGTTGATGGATAGGTTACACATCCACCAGCCAGTGTGGATTTCTTATTATTTCCTTGCTTTCCAATTTTGAGAGACTATTACCACAATTTTAAGAGTCTTCAAGTGAGTAGGGAGACATGGTGGGGGAGTGCTGGAAACTGGGGTGGCATTTCTCTCTCTGTTCCATCCTGAGTGCCCCATGCCCTGCTTCTACTCTTTCTATTCTAAGAGTAGCTTCATTTGTTCAAATAATGTACTATCATGACATTTATCAAGCTAAATGTTGGTAGAGGCAAGATCATCAAACTGATCAAAGAGTGGTGATTTTCTTCTTTTTTGGTCTTTTTGAGACAAGGTCTCTCTATGCAGTTCAGGCTGGCCTTGAGTGCACTTTATAGCCTAGGCTGGTCTCAAACTCACAATGATCTTCCTGCCTCAGCCTCATGAGTGCTGGGCTTACAGGCATGTGCCACCACACCCAGCATTGAGTGGTGACTTTTTAATGTGCTGGTTATTTGGCCAGCTAGTGCAGGAGTTATTTGCCATTTCCAGAATGCACTCATACTCCATAACCCACGATAGGACCTGACTAGCTTACACAGTGGAGCGTGAATCACCTAAATTATTTAGGAATGTCTGCAGTGACAATATGCCTGCCATGGTCTGTCCCATATTTATCTTACCTTCTTCTTCACCATCCATGCCTGTACAGACAGGTGAGTTGGGGGTGGACCCAGAACTTGACCTCATAAGCTTTCAGTGAATGGAAGACTGGAGTGTCCCATTGCCAGTTTCCTGTGAGCCTAGTCCAAGTGTTATCCTTCACTGAGCCTCTTCATTTTTGAACCCTGTGTTTTTTCCTTTTTTCCCATCCAAATTTATCTATATTAGACACTGGGATGGTGTTGGACTTAAGATCCAACGGGCTAGTGCCCACATGGATTTGAACTCCACTCTCGGTCATTGGCACTCCATCCCAATACAGTACCAAGCTCGAAAAATATGTAATTATGTTCTAGTTTTCCCAAATTTATCTGTATTAGGTAAGATTCCTTTTACTGTATTTTTGTTTGCATAATAAAATACATTTGTAATTTAAAACTCTTACATTATAAACTATTCATTTTGTGTCATAAAGCATAGACTTCTTTTGTTGCTTCAGCCTCCAGAATGTATCCTCGTTTCATTACTATAGATAACAGTTTTTTGTTTGTTTGTTTGTTTTCCGGTACCGGGAATCGAACTCATGACCTTGCACTTGCCAGGCAGGCGCTGTGCCGCTGAGCTAAATCCCCAGCCCCTATAGCTAACATTTAATCTATGGGATTCAGTCAAGTGGTGCATCCAGTTTTCAGGTAAACAATATAAAATTCTTTTTAATACAAAGTTATTGAGATGGAATAGGTACATTAAAGATAATGAAAGTTATCAATCCTTTTGTTGCAGATAAGAAGGCAGAAGCCATCCTCAGTTGATAAATCCTTTCCCTCCATGGTGGGAAATTTCCCAGTGAAGTGTGTTACTGTGTCTGAAATCTTCCTGTAGAGCTCATGCTCTTTGCATATCAGGGCTGTTTTGATGGCAGGACTGTAGCTTGTTACAGTATTGAAGCTGCTAAGTGAGAAGTACTAGGAACCTGATGGATGTCCTAAGAAATATAGAACTGCATAATCTATGTACAAAGGAATAGGATATAAATTTGACTCTGGCACACATTCTACTATAGGCAGACAGCAAGATGTGTTGGAAATGTATTTTAGAATATCTGCCCAGGAGTGATGTTTGAAAGTGTTCTGTCTTCATTTTGTGTGTTCAGGTAGTTTAATGTCACCCCAGTGGAATTCATTACTTGATTATGAACTTATAACATGGTGTTTTGAATCCCCTTATTATAGGATATGCAACACCCTTTACTTGTCCTCGACTTGTGGAAAGGAAATAATGATTCCTTATATTGAATTCTCAGTTGGTCATGAGCCTGTTAAAACTAGTATTGGTATTTTAAAAAGAGCAACAAAAGATACATCTCTTCTCTCTGAAATAGGTAATAAGACGTTTTATGTTCCTAGTGTTCAGGAGAGAGTGTCAGAAAATCAATATGAATAAATTGAAGTGCACAGTTGATTCAACCTATTTGAAAAATGTAGTGTATGGCAAAATGATAATATGTATTATTATTACATATTTTTGTTTTGCTCACATATAAATATACTTGCATGCAGAAAAGGTATTGTAGGTTACTTGTATATTTAGGCAGGGGGTGGTTTGCTGGCTTTTTTGTTTTTTCATTCTTTATTGTTGTTGTTTAGTATCTCAAGGCTTACAGCTAAACTGAATTTGAAACTAAATACTGTCATTACAGAAGATTTTTTTTCTGAGTTCTTCCAATTTCTCTAGGGACAAAATAATGGTTGCTTGAAGCAGTGGAGAAACAGTAATTAGGGCAAATAGTAATACTGTGCATGATTGAGGAAAATGTGAGGAAGGAGGGGGAAGAAAATGCAACAGACTGACTTGTGCAGCTTGTTACTAGGAAACCACATCAGCATTAAATACAGTGTGCTAATTGGCTATCCTGTTTCTGCCTGGGTACCAGCTCAGGCCTGCTACACAGCTGTTTCTGCTCTTTCTGGTTGCTAGGTAACTACATCATTCCCTCCACCACCACCCCCCTTTGTATTCTGGAGGGTAATTGGCTACTTCTGCTCCTGGTGTTGCTGCTGGGTACCAGTCTGGGCCTGCTGCTCTGCTGTTTTCCAGAGGGATTTAGTTGGGGGAGGGGAGGAAAAGGGAGCGGAAGATATGCTGGCAATTAATGGAGCATAAGTGCAAATTCTACACAATGTCTGGCACCTGCGTCCTCTCATCCTGCTTTCTCAACTAAATCCTTTAGCTATGAAAACACATTACAGCCTTGAAGTCTTTCTTTTCTCTGCATTCCTTATCAATGTAGTTTAAGAAATAAAACATTTGAGGACTTATCGTCTAAGTGATGCATTTGGTTTTAAGAGAAATCAGGCTGAAAATTACTTACCAAAATTTGATATGGACCCTCCTAGAATTTGTACAAACAGTTAAATTAGTAACTTAATAACAAAATGGCATTTTTAATATGTTAAGGACAGTGCCACTTTATCTCTTAAATGGACTAAATTATTTTGTACCGATTCTTTGTGATATACAAAGCACAAAATAAAATGGACTGATGCATTATGGGACTTTCTTGACTTATTCACTTTGAAAGAGTAAAGGAAACCCTCTGACTTTCCATTGTGGGCTTTATTCCTTTGATGTGCACAGCACATGTGCCCTTACTTGTGGATAATATCTTGTATTTACATTAAATTAATGCATGTGTTTGCATACCTTAGCTTTTTATGGCAAACTAATAAACCTGGTGGATAATAAATCTGAAATCAATTTTGTGATTTGAAAAGCATTAAAAATGTGATTATTTTCCATGTAGTTGTCATCTCCTGTTAGAGTAGAAGTTTCCATTTCATCATTATTGAAATCCTCACTGGAAGTGTGAGGAGGAAGATTCTACAGAACTGCAGTCATGTTCCAAGGAGATTTCACTTTAAATGCTTGAGAAAGCATATGTCAACTGGAGCTCCTTGAAGAGGCAACTTCATTCCCTTGGGAAGGAGCTGTTTATTGAGAAAACTCAAAGTGTGTTGTGTGACTGCACAAAAATAGTTAGCAAAGACAAGTCTTATTTGACACTAATGGCTGATACTAGATGCCCATACTAATGAGATCTCCCATCTCCTTTCAAAAGAGAAGCAGCTAGAGTCTTAATCTGAGCTCTGAGCCTTTCTGCCCTAAGCTGAGATCAGGCTCTGCAGCATCATTTCTGTTTAACGTGTACTTAAGATTGGTGGAAGGCTGACAGGACATTGCAGTGTTCCACAGAGCTCTGGCTCTTAGTAGTAGAGAATAAGAGGAAAATCTTATTATGGGAAGATAACTACTGAGCAGGTCTCAGACTCTTTCTGCTGTCTTGGTTAAAAGGACCAGTTGTCAATCACTCACAAGTATTTGTTCATTGAAGGACTGAGCCATATGGTTGTGAGGAACCATTGGAAGTTAGAATATTCCTTTATCTCTTGACAAGTTTCACATTCTGCCTGTGGGCGGGGCTGGTTTGATTGAGGGTTTAGTCTTTGTTGACAGCATATTGCTAGAATAACACATTTCCAAATGTGTTATGGATCAGCCCTATTTGACTTAAGTAGGATGTTTGAAAAGTGCAGTGAAGGGTGGATATTTATCTTGCCCAAGCTCACCCTTCACCCATTAGTCAAATGGAGTTCTGTACCCTTCCTCTGGCTCTGGCAAGATCTTGGAACTCTGGGGTGGGATCTTCAAAGTCTGACATGGTCCTGGTTAGTCCAAATGATAAGTAAACAGTGTGTACTTCTGAGTTTCCTCTCTTTATGCTCACGGGAGAGCAGATCATTCTCTTTGGCTGTGCCCATGTTGAAAATAGTAGTGAGAGTGTAAATGCGTGCAGGCATCCTTTAGGGGATGAGGAACGGAGACATCCATGTAGCTTCTTCAACTGTTGCGTTCTCCTCATCCCAGCACAGGCTTGCTAATTGTCAGGCACACAAAGCTGCCACCCATCCTATCAGGTAAATCTGTTGCTAGCCTCCCAGCTGGACGGCTGCTCACCCACAGTGTGCCTTTGTGAGAAGCAGTGTAAGGTGCCCCTTGCATGGGGCAGATGTGCTGCTGTGTTGAGGGGCAGAGCTGGGTTCTTTCTCCCTTTGGCCCTCAGCTGGAAACCCTGTGCTCACAACCTGTCCTGGTCCTTGTCTGAGGGAGTGATCCACTCTGACAGACCTTCCCAGACCTTTGAGAATTTCTGAGGCTGTAGAAGGTGTGTGTGTGTGTGTGTGTGTGTGTGTGTGTGTGTGCGTGTGTGTGTTTAAAGAGGCGATTACACGAGGGAACAAACCTTTGAGTCATACCGTCCCCCCAAATGTGAGATTATTAGTTGTTTAATGTGATGGTTCTCAACCAGGGTAGATTTCTACCCACTCAGAACATTTGGCAAGATCTGCTGGCATATTCTGTTGTTACTTTCGAGGGTATACTACTGGTATCTGGCGAGTGGAGGGCAGAATGCTGCTAAATATTCCATAGTGCCCAGGGCAGCCTGACAACTGGCCACCTTGCTGAGAGGTCAGCAGTGGAAACCGTTGCCTGGCACAACTTCCTGGGACTTGTCATCTCTCTGAGCTGCTCCAAACCACTTGCAAAATATGTCCTAATCCTTTTAAGACTATCCTCCAAGTCTTGCTTTCGATTTATACTCTTTAGCAATATTGAATAAATACAAATATGGTATAATTTATTATTTCTGGAGAACTCTGTGAGATGTGCTGCTTTTCCCCTTATGGTGTGAAGGTAGTCACACCACCTCTGATGGATGCTTAGCTTTGTAGATTTAGCATTCATGATGGGGCCCTTCCTGAGCGCTGCCCTTTCCCCTTCTTCTGAGGGCTCCTGACCTGGAATAATTTGAGATTTTGCTGAGGCAGGGGTTTGAGTCACAGGAGCTGAAAGGCTGGTATGTGGCAGGGGGTGTTTTGCCAGGAAGTGGCCAGCTGACCAGGCCCTGATGATTTGCCGCACTGTGTGGTATTGTCGTCCTCTGCTTGCTGTCTCATATATGCTCACCAAAAGAATTGGTGACACTGGTGTTGTTGCTATCCAAAAGAAGATTGTCAGTGCAAAAATAAGACAGACGTGTTTTCACTCACAAAATAGAGCATTTATTGGGAAACTCATACATTGTACTGTTGTTTGCTACTTGAGTGTATTTCTTGTTACTCACCATTCTGCTTTGCACCAGTACTGTGAAGAAAGTGCTAGAAATATTATGAATTCTTAGGGAGAAAGATACTATTTCAGGTAAAAAGATTTCAGTGGCCTTATCTAATGGACATGTACTTTAGGCTTGTATTTTGTCAGGGGATGTGAATTATGCATTGATTCTTTTAGCTACATGCATAGAAAATAACATTGTCAGATGAGCCATCCTCAGACACAATGGACAATATGCTATTATAATTGTACAGCATTGTCCTTGCTGTTTGGAGATAATACTGCTGACATTATTCCTCTCATACATGTGAATGTGGCTGTAGGGAGAACGTGACATCTGTGGCTTTCACACAGATTAGCTTATCCCTGCCTCTTGGAGGTATTGCCATTATGAGCTGGCCTCCTGGGGTCATGCTGAGTGTCATCTTTTGGATCACAGTTGTTTTCGGACCTTAGTTTTAGGCCCTGTAGGGAATTAGTCATATTTATCTTGATGATCTGAAGATGCAATGGTTATTTAGTCAGTTCCCTAGAGCAGATGGGCTGAAGAAAGGGTAAGCTGAGACATTCCTACTGCTACTGACTTAGAGATTTGGAAGACAAGTGGGTACCAGGCCTGTGAATGACTGTCTCTGTGTTATTGCATATCAAAGTAAGCAAAAATATCACTTGTGTTAATCCTGATAGCTTACCTAGTACTTTCACATACACCATTTCATTTAACTCCCACTTCTCCCATAAGTGAGGTATTAGCATACCCAATTTACAGATGAGGGGACTGAGACTCAGATTGTTCAAAGTTATCACTGTTGAACTCTAACAGAGCTTTTGCCACTCTGTTTTTTCTTTAGAGATTTGTTATTTCTGTGGGGGAATAAAAGTGACTTTGATTGTGTTCCTGGTTCAGGAAAATAAATGGCTTAATATTTACTATACTACATAACTCACACATATGCTAAGTAACGTGTGCTGTATTATCTTTCTTATCCAATACGACTATAAATGCAGGATAGCTGAAAAATACAGTCGTTGTCTTGTATATTCTATTTTGGTTGAACTTAGGAATCCTTGCTCTTAGTTGATTTTTCTGTATTTTAAGAAAGAAAGCTAGTTTTAAAAGGTGCAAACAAATGTGAGGTATTGATTCTTAACATGGTATGTGAGTATTATTGTGTGTGCATAGTGCAGAGAATTTGTGGAAGGAAATAGTAAATAGATACTTATCCCCAACCTCTTAAAAGCATGTGTCTTAGCAGTCCTCTTTCATTATAAAATTGGAAAATTCAAAGGAAAGTACTTTAGAGAAGCTGAAGGAAATTATGGATATATCATGACACATGAGTCATATATTTTTGTCTGTCTTCTGCCAGAGCTTACTAGGTAAGTTTGAACATGTGGTTTATGTGCTTCCATTTGTCTTTGTCTGGTATATGTGGAGTTAGATGATTCTATTTGATCCTTCTTGTGTCTGCTTTGTTGAAAGTAGTTATGGATGAGTCGGATGTCCTAAGCAGAGGACCTTGGTGAACACAAGAATCATAAGTACACTAATGGGCAAAAATCCCAAACTCGGGTTACTATTCCACTAACATGTACAGTGGACTTTTTATTCCGAAAAGTGAAGTGGCATAGCTGCTTTCCAACATTATGCCAAAAGAATCCAAAGGCATCTTAGAATGATGGGCATTGTCTTCCAGAGATTTGAGGAAAGAAATATTAATACCAAAAGACCAATTCTTGGCCAGTGGAAGGAATAACACAGTGTCCCTCGGGGCTCCTTGAGAGTTGTTTGCGCATAGATTTTTCTTTGCACAATCCTGTGTTCCTGTGCATCTTTGCATGTTTTCATTTTACCAAGTGCTAAGAAAATAATCTGAATAAGTCATTACAATCGGCAGGGCCCCCATCTTCAATTGATGCTAGCCCTTTGCTTGCTTAGAATTCACTGCTTGCATTTAGAATGCTTGCTGCCCCACCTGTGTCTATTTCTTCCCTCTTCCCATGGTCAGATCTTGATGTTTTTCTGTGGTTTTCCTTGGTGTCCTTCTTCCACAAAAGAGAATTCATAGTGACAGAACTAGGGACTAGGAAGAATTCTTTCCAGCCAAGGAAAACTTTGTGTATACCGTTTCTACTTCTGTCATCGTATGAGTTAAAGGGACCCTTGACACGAAGCTTCTGGGATCACTTACCTCAAGCTCACTGTTACCCTTTTTGAAAAATCTCTTGTAAGGAGAATAAAGCAATAATTAAAATCAACTGAACACCTTTTGCTCTATTGAGGCGTTAAATCTTTGTGTAAACACAGTCCCATTGTGCAAACATAGGTCTTTTGAGATGGGGTGATTTAGAGAGTGAATGCACCGAAGTTTTGAGGTCTGTGGGTCAAGGGCCTGTTTTGACATGGTTTGAAAGGTCACCTGCTCATTTGTGTCTGCATTTAGCTGCAGGGAGGGCAGTGAGCCTGTGTGGTTCCCTGTGCGCTCCCGCAGCACAAAGAGGAACTGGCTGGGGTTTAGCGGATTGTGTGTGTGACAGGCTGGAAAGAAACTGCACACGAAGCAGAGCTGTTCC